GTTATTTTCTTCCTTATACTTTTTTTTCCAAACTTCTCTTAGTGAATCTAAGCTGCTTTTACAATGGAAAAAGTATATATACTAAAGAGAAATTGAGAAGAAATTTTAAATCCTAATATCAAGTGGGTGTCATCACTTAATCAAACTGGAAACGCAATTAAACAAAAAGAAAAGTTGTTCTCATTGAGATAGTATATTTATGTGAATAACTATGTAGCATCTAGGAATACCAGACTTGAATAGTGCAGAGACAATATTCTGCAGTAGTTAAAAATATATATCCTACCTCTCCCCCATAATATGTGCAATTTCCAAAAGAAAAATGAATGAATAAAATTGAAGAGAACAGGTCTGTGAGAGCTTGGGAGATTTAAGCAAAGTTTACCAATGCTCAGGAAAGCATAAGGTAGAATGTGTTACACAAAAAGTTGATAGTCAAGTGTAATCTGAAATCTAGAAGTGTCAGGGAAACATCCAGATTAAAGGGTAATTGCACTGGAATATCCTATCTCTAATGCAAAACGTTACATTCAGAAGATGTTAGGAAAGTAAACACATTAAGAAAAAGTGATATAGACTCTTTGTTAATAGCAACACAAATCATGGATCCTGGCAGCCTGGAAGAGTAAGCAGAGAATCCTAAGCTGAATATCAGGAGTCAGGCTTTTAGCACAGAGTTCATCTTCTCTGATCAGTTATCTCACCTGTAACTGAAGCTATGATACACAGTTGTGTTGTCCAACAGAAATAGCCTGTCAGTCACAATATGTTCTTTTGTAAATTTCCTAGTATTACATTCAAAAATATGAAATTTTAAATTTACTAGTACTACATTCAAAAAATAATTTTAATATAAACTGAGTTTTAATAATATATTTTATTTAATTCAATGTATTTAAAAGTTATAATTTCAAAATGGAATCAATATAAAACAAATTATTAATGAGGTAGCTTACATTCTTTTTTGGTACTAAGTCTCTGAAATCTTGCAAGTACTTTTTACTTACAGCACATCTCAATCTTGACCAGCACATTTCAAGTACACAGGAACCATATATGGCTAGTGGCTACATAACTGAGTGGCAGAAAATTCCACATTCCTTTCCATGTCTGAAATTTATGACTAGAAATGTTGATGGAATAGGACAACAAAAATTGAAAATTGCATGAATATGTGAAGGTCTGCAAATGATTCGGCACCAAGGAAAACACATGTAATGGGGAAATAAATAAAAGATGAAAAGTTTAAAAATTAAAATTTGAATTTCTGAGGGAAATAAAAGCATAGCAAAGTAATTATTAATTGGCCAAGTGTTTGACTAAAAATGTGAACCCTACTACAAAAAAATGTAAATTGCATTACAGCATTGTCCTTTATAAGGATATGTATTATGTGAAAAACTATGCTTACCATTTTAGAATAAACAGAATTCCTTTTCTTGAGTGTTTTTTAAAATTATAATGATATAAACATAGAGTGATAGACCTGGGTAAAGCGATGGCTTCCATTAGAGGTTCTTAACCCTGTCTGCATATTTGACTTATGTTGGAAACCTTAAAAACCCCAAGATGTCACCTCCAAGACCCTCATCTAATTGCTCTGAGATATGGATAGGACATTGGCATTTTTTTAACTATCCCAAGTGATTCTAATATAACACCCAGGTTGAAGAGCATGGGATTATGTGACTCTGCAGGGTCCCTCTCACTTGCCTCTCACCTGCCCAGTTGCTTCCATGGCCACCAAAGATTGTTAGCACAACTTGAGGAAAAGTCTTCTTTTAGAAACATTTGAGTATCTATTGGCATTCACAGATTTAGTCAGCAAACAATATTTAGTAACCTAGTGATGAGAATGAATACTTCCTACATAGCAGTCATGTTAATTTCTACAATACGGAATCTTGCCACCCCTATTTAATTTTACAACAAAAACATCAAAAGATTTTACCAAAGGCTAATATAACGCCCTTTTTCCCAGCATTTTCACATATTACAACAATTTTCAGATGTAGATTTGTCCTAATATGAAAGGAATGGAGTAAGAAAACAAAACATGAAACTGAAAAGGAAGGTTAGAAGGAAAGTATTTCACTTCCATAATTATCTTGTGGCTTGGGTTTACAAGGTTCAGCATTACAGCTTACATGATGCTAAAAATGCTCCAAGCACTGAGAGTGTGGCTATATGTGTATTCACATATGTATATTACATATAGTAAACTACATATATATTATATAATGATGTTTCTATTTATATACATTGTATACAAAGCCCTTCAAACACAAAATGACTAAGGAAGACATAATCAGGCCACAAAGTCCACACTTACACATTGCATCATGAGTGGGCAGAAAAACTCTAACGTAGGCTCTTATTTGCCTTGGAATACTGGACTAGTCATCCTTTTCTGGGGCTTGATGGGAGCTCTGTTTAAAAATGGGAGCACTATTATCCACACCTTGGGATTTTATGAGCATTAAACAGGAGAGCACTGGGGCCCATAATGGTTGTTGCTCAATAAATACATATTGAATCTGAACATTGTCACCTACCTTCCTTGCTCAATAAATGTGTTGAATCTGAACATAGCCACCTACCTTCCTTGCTTCTGAGCACAAGAGAAGGAACACCAGAAGCCCAGAGGAAAAATGATTGCCCAAACTAACACAGTGATCACTTACCAGGTCCTGACTGGTACTTTCATTTCACCACCTTCCTCTCAGGGATTTTCTCCCCAAAGCTGGCTCTACCTTGCCTCTTTCCAGGACAAGCCAATGGCTCCTGTCCTAGCATGAAGACCCTAAGCTCAAGACTTTTTGCCAGAACGACACAAAGAAAGACACAAGCACGTGGCAGTACCCAACCCAAGGTGACACCCACCTCTCAGCAACACCTGGACTCCCAGGGCACCTGGTCCCCTCTAGCCTTTTTATTTGATACCTGAATCCTGACCCACAGATGCCAAAGATAGAACCAAAACAGCTGTGGACTTCATTATGTGTTAACTGTTGACTTACATCTGCTTCCCTAGAATCAGATCCTGAAATGAGGGTTCACGAGCAAGTGATTCATAAGAATGTACTTCCGGAAGAAACTGGTAAGGTAGATGAGGAGTAACAAAGGAAAAGGAAAGAAGTCAAGCAAGAGCCTGATTGCAGGCAAGTTCTGTTCTCAGCCTGAACTCAAAGGGCGCTCAGGAATGTAAATTACACCTCATAGTTTGTCCAACCTGTGGCAGGGGAGCTGTGCTTCTATACTGCTGCAAGAACTGGTCATTGGTTCCAACATCCCAAGGGCAATACTCTGAAGAAGCGGTAGGTGCAACCTCTTAAAAGTAACACACACATGTGCTTGCGGGTGAACACAGGAAGACAATAGAGACCTGGGAAGAACCCTAATAGCATCCTCTACAACTACCAGCCAAAAGAACTTGAAGCTCCCTGTGCTATCTTAGATCTGAACTTATTTTATTCCCCAACAGTTCAAGATCCAAAAAGTAAACAGTTAGTCTCCATAGCCTCAGCACATTCTGCAGAAACTACTCTCCCAGGCACTGGGATTGGCTAGTGATGGGATTTAGCAAAATGTCACAGAACAAGCTCCTCTGGTGGATTGTCCTCTCAGCAAGATACTTGTTATACATCAATTTGAAAATTCAACACACTGTAGCAGACTCAAGGAACACAAGACTCATGCCCTAGAGGAGCTCACAATTGTGGGTAGTCTCTCAAATGAAAATTTTTGCCAGATATTTCACTGAATCCTAAATAATACCCCATTATCAATGATATATGCTTGTCCCTTCAACTTTGCAACATTGACAACAATACTTTTTAAGACATCATGCAATATTGAGTTACAAAGAGATGCTATCTCATAAGGAATTCACAAAAAGCTAAATGTAACCACAATAAAGTAACACAAACACAACTTCTAATAATAATAATGATAGTCACCATATGTGGGAGATATAGTCATGGAATTTCTGAATATCTAAGTTACTGGATTAATTCCACGACCTCCAATAGAAGCCCCAATGTCTACCATTATCCAAGTATCATCACAAAATTCAACTGGTAATTCGAGAGACACTAAAAGATATTCTAGGACTATTAATTCAAACTCATTGCACAGCTATTTGTTTGCAACACACTTTATTGAGATAAAATGAGTAATGAGATTGATTATCACATGTACCTTGGGGAATTTGTCATATTATAGTAATGTCAGATCTAACACCCAGTCAGAACTTCAAGACCTGAAAAAGCCAAGATATGCAACAGTACTGCTCAAGGCAACACATCACATTAACGCACAGTCATCACCTCTTAAAGGAATAATAAAGCTATGTAAAGAAGCTAACAAACCTGCACGATGACCACTTAGGTACCTAACCCTGAATTGTACCCCACATCTTTAAAATGAAAAATAAGTTAAATTAAATTAAAGGAAAAAAAAAGAAGCAAACAACACACCAGATGCTGAGCCAGTTCATTTCACTTCCTCAGCAACTCTGTCCATGGGAGAGACCCTATTATTTTACAGATGAGGAATCTGATGCTCACAGAGATTAAATAATACTTGTCCGAGACTGCAGACTTATTCAGGGTAGGATGAAACTCATACTTAAGTCTTTCTGAGTGAAAAATACATGTTTTTAACATCACACTATGGGGGCAACAATTCAAAACCTGCTAACCTGGAAATGAGCCACAAGGTTCCAGGTATCTTTATGGCTTGTCTATGTCACACCAGGATCACATATTCCAAGGTTCTGTCTCTACAACTATGATTTTAGATTAAAATCATTTTCCTTCATTGTACATTAAGTGCCTTTTTCCAAAACAAGGCAATAAAGAAAAACGACAGGCATTCATTATACTGTTAATAATTAGTCAACATTTTAGTTATAGAAAAAGATTACTTCAAGCCACCAATTGTCAATCCCTCTTTTTAGGTACCAGAAATTTTAATAACCCAAACAATGCATTTCTTACTTGCTGTTGATGAGCACTTCAGACTGCCGATTATTCACTTGATTATCACTCTTATGGCGAAACTGAAAAATCAAAGTGTTTGTGTGAAAACATATTAACTCATATTTTTATTAGCCCAAATAAGAACCTTTAAACTCATCTGTCTGGATAATATTGTCATTAATCTAAGATGATACTGTTTAGGCTTACCTTGAACACAGCTCTGCACGTTCTAAATCTAAATCAAGGCCCTTCTCACTAAACCTCATTCTGGATATCACCAATGAAATAAGTCTAGCCACATGCTCTTCCAATCCCTACACATGTTTATTGTTTCTCAGAAGACAAAATGCTCTTTACTCTACCGCATAGTCCCAGAGAAAAACATATATTAATTTTGATGTCTTCAACAAGGAATGGAGGCTTCCATTTTTCTCACATATGTGCTCAATACTTTATTAGAACACCATTCATTGTTTTATAGCTTTCTTTGAAGTCAAGAAATTACTTGTAACAACACGAATTTTTAGTCTCCAGAAATTCTAATTGTTAACAGTAATCTTATGAAATACTGAGCATTTAAAATGAAACTCAGAATGCAATACTGAACCACATTTGGTGTAGATTTGTTTTATGCCCAAGTGATTGTATTTCCTATTGTATACTCCAGTAATGTAAATCTTACATTGCTTGCAAGAAACCAAATATTATGAACTCTCTAATAGACTCATAAATTAGCAACCATTCAGGTAAGTCTTTCCACATGAACTGTCAAGATCAGATAGTAATGTGCTAAAACAGAGGCAAGGGCAATATAGAGACAAGGGTAATATAGAAACAATAGTACAAACAATAATGCCAATAGTAATAGACTATGATAGAAACAAAGTTGAATAAGTTAATGACTATTACCAGTAAAAAATAAGAAAACAAAGCAAGTTGTATTTGTTAACATGAAAATGATTTATAATATTGGTAGAGAAGTAAATTAAGTCAGCCCACCCAATGACATTCAAACTTCGTTCTAGAACAATAGAACAGCACTATCATTTTATCTGAGTGTATGATTTGGTAGGGTTGCTGAATATTCTGTGTTTGCTCCTCCATATCTACACCCTATTCCTCTCGACTCCGCCCTGTGCCATGAAAACCTAGCCTCTATATTCCTTGCCCTCTGACTTCTGGTTGGGTTTAGCCAACAGGTAGAAGATCAGAGGACCAGAAGAGAGTGAAATGAAGGAAATTATTCCCTGGCTTTCTTCTAGCTGGGTTGACAATGGTAGCTTCCCTACAGATAGCCCTGCAAACAGACCTCAACTCTGTCTCCAGGTCTGGTCTGGTCAACTCTGTCTCCAGGTCTGGTCATTGCTTCTCTCCTTTGCCTTTTCAGGCCTAGTAGTATTGCTGCATGTTGCTACAACCGGTGCTTTTCCTTGCCCACACCCTCTGTAAATGGTTCCTTCATTATTCAGTTCTTGAATCCTTCCCATTTCAGTGCAAAATCTGTTTCCTGACTGATGAAAATATCCAATTACTGAACTGACACATATCAACACAAAAATGAAAGCACATTCAAACATTAAGTGCAGTAGCATCAAAAGGAGACTTTGGGTTTAGTTCTAGCTGTATATAACCTGAAAATAGTTCTCTAAATTGGCTAGCTGGACATCAGAGAAAAAGACTAATCAACTCATTCCCCTTCTGGGCCTCAAGATGGGGCCTCTCCCATATCTCCTCAGGCTTTACCAATGGGTCTTGGTATTGGAGCAGGATTAGAAATAGCAGGCTTATGCCCAGGCTGACTCTTACCAACAATTTCTATTCCAGAAATATTAAGTCTTAGAGGGGAACTGCCACCAGGCAAGAAAGGAGCAAAGGACTAGCATTCATTGTACACCCACTGTGAGCGAGGTTCTATGCTTTTCTCGTATCATCTCATTCTGTCTTCCCAACAGTGCTGATATTATTGGTCACATTATACAAAAAAAGAAAGATTCAGAGAAGTGGTTTGCTTCAGATCACGCTACTAGTACATGGTAGAGTAAGGTGTCTTTCTCCAAAGCCCATGTTTTCTACTCTACCATTTTACTCTTCTATGAAGTGTGACTATAATGAACAAGACCTTTAACACCAATATATGTGAACTCATGCATCTAAACAAGTACTATTTCCCTGAAAGATCAGATAACATGAAAAAGCCACACATTTGCTCCAAAATGTCACTGCTGAAATCCTTGTTGAAATTTCCTCTCTTAGAATTACCTTTGGAGTTCATAGCACATTATTTGGAATATCCTCTATCCTTTGAGAATGGAGCTCTATATCCTTTGAAAAGACACGAAGAGATATCTTACATTTTAAAAAATATGTAAAAACACTCTAGGCGAGTGCCTGTAGTTACAGCTACTTGTAAGACAGAGGCAGAAGGATTGCCTGAGCCGAGCAGGTTGAGGCTGCAGTGGCCGAGAGCGTGCTACCACATTCCAGCCTGGGCAACAGAGTGAGACTCTTCCTCACAAAAACAAAAAACGAAAACACTCTAGAATGCATGTCTGATTAATAAGGTTCTTGATTAGGCTGAGAAATGGCATTTGTTTCCAAAGCTGGGAAGTCATGAGACTGGCTTTTTCCTCTACCTTGTATACTGACCATGAAGACAATTATATAAGAAGAGTTCCCAAAGTATCTCAAATAATGACAACCTCACAGGATTTGGTAGATTCCAGGGACATCACAAGCTTACCACTTTAATGTGATGTTATTCATCAGTGTGGATGGATCCCATGTGTTTATTAAAAATTTAGCCTCAAAGGTTGCCGTCATAACATGTACCATGAAATAGGTTAGGTACTTTGTTAAAAATGAAGAGAGTTATAGCCCATGTATCTTACAGAAATATGGCATATGAAAACAAATACATTATGTATATGTGTATGTGTACAATTGTAAAATCACATCAAGTTGTTGATTTATCAAAACATATTTGTAAGACGACTATGAGGAAAACATCACATAAACCAAACTGTTAAGTATAAATCTTCTCATCTCTCTTTCCCATACTCAACAACTCTTAGCAAGGCTGGATTCCCACTTTCTCCATGAAGACTTCCCTAATTCTCTTTCACATATCCCACCTCCACTACCAACCTACCAACTGAAGGGCATCTTCCTCCCTCAAAGAACCAAGGCACTTTGGGTTTTTTGTATTATGACTTTTATAACTTTTATTATATTACCCATAAAATTTATAATATTTTTATCTCATATTATTGTTACTCCTGTACATGTCTCATCTCTTCCTATTGGACTGCAAGCTTTTTAAAACTTCAGTTTCTTTGTCTTTTTCATTTTTGCATCCTCCATAGGTCTTAGCACAGAGGGATGTGGTGAATAAGTGCCAGTGCTCTGAATCCAGATTGCCCCAGATAGACTATAATAAGTTAAACACTAGAACAATCATGAAAAAAAGTCAATTAAGTCAATAATAAAGATAAAATGGAATCACAAAAAAAATAATCTAAAAGTAGCCAGAAAAATAGAACAGAGAACCACTGGAACATATTGAAAGCAATAGCAAGATGATCAGTTTAAATCTAATCCTAATGATAATCACATTAAACATAAAGAGGTTAAATACTCCAATTAAAAGGCAGAGATTTTCAGAGTGTATTAAAAATTATTACCCAATTATATATGCTATCTACAAGAAATCCATTTTAAAAACACATATAAGTTAAAATTGGACAATAGAAAATACAAGTATGAGCTTTGAGGAGAAGCCTGGGCTAGGAATATAAACATGTAAGTCATTGGAGTATAGATACTTATTGAGGTTGGTCACATGCAGTAACCCAGAATGGAAATATAATTTATCTAGATTTAGAATGCTTGATTTTCCCAAGACTATATTTTAAATCTTGTCATGGGAATGACTCCTCTGGGTTATAAAGACTTAAAAACTCCTCATTTACTTAGATTAGTTTCCTGACTTTTGAAGCTACAGTTGACCATTGAATAACACAGGTTTGAACTGCATGGATCTATTTATAAGCAGATTTTTTTTTTTCAATCAAAATTACACTGAGGCTGGGTTCGGGCCTGTAATCCCAGCACTTTGAGAGGTCGAGACAAGTGGATTGCCTGAGCCCTCGGGTTCAAAACCAGCCTGGGCAACCTGGTGAGACCTCGTCTCTACAATAAAATAAAAAATAGCCGGGCATGGTAGCACACTCCTGTAGTTCCAGTTACTTGGAAGGCTGAAGCAGAAGGATCATCTGTGTCCAGCAGGTCAACACTGGGGTGGCTGTGAGCATGCCACTGCACTCCAGCCTGGGCAATGGAATGAGACTCCAACTGAAAAAAAAAAATCTATTCTCCTTAGAATTTTCTTAATAATATTTTCTTTTTTCTAGCTCACTTAATTTTTAAAATACAGCATGTAATACTTACAAAATATGTGTTAATCAATGGTTGATGTTATTAATAAGGCTTCTGGTCAAATGTGACTACTAGCAGTTACGTTTTGGGGGAGTCAAAGTTATACATGGATTTTTGACTGTGCAGGCTGTTGGTGTCTCTAACCCCCACATGGCTCAAGGGTCAACTGTATTTGATTCTGTAACTCCTGGCATAATAAGCAGAATATGTGAGAGTATCTAATATTTACCAATTCCCAAAACATAGGCAAAGACGTATGATAAAGTTAAATAACACTAGGTGAATGCAGGTTGTGTTTTAATTCTGCTCTTCCACAAATTGATTGTATGATCATTAACAAATTGCTAGGTCTTTATGGGCTTCCCTCAGCTATGAAATGAGGAGAGAATCTACTTATTGAAGGCCTCTTGCTTTTAAACAGACCTTGGTTCTGTGATACCTGTATTAATCAAACAGACAAAAAAAAATTTTATATGATATTGACCAAAAGAATTTCATTTAAAATTTCAAATGGATCTCTATTTTCTATTCTGAGAAGCCACAGCTGAAATTGAGACTTTGGCCAGGCTTGGTGGCTCAACCTGTTATCCCAGCACTTTGGGAGGCCGAGGCGAGTAGATTGCCTGAACCCAAGGGTTCAAGACCATCCCGGGCAACTTAGTGAGACCTCATCTCTACAATCAATCAAAAATTAGCTGGGCATGGTAGCATGCATCTATAGTACCAGTTACTTGGAAGGCTGAGGCAGAAGGACCGCCAGAGCCCAGCAGGTCAACACTGGGGTGGCCGTGAGCGTGCCACTGCACTCCAGCCTGGACGACAGAGTGAGACTTCAACTCAAAAAAAAAAAAAGGAAAAGGAAAAGAAATTGAAACTGCAAGAATGCTCAAGTGCAAATACTCACATAATCATCTGTGGCATCTTTGACTGCTGTCATGGTTATCACCAGGACCAAAGGCACAATGGTGGTAAACCAGGTCAAGGAGGAGATTTCTGGAATTAGCTGAAATAAACATTTGAAATAGTTTAGAGCTTTTAAAGTCAGGAACTATATCTCCCAAATTTTGTCACTTAATTTTATAAGACTTGGCAAAAATTAATGGGGTTATATTCAATTATTTGTACAAATGTAGAATGGCTTTCAGTAATTTAAGTGTTTACATTTGGTTATAAGACACATAGAACTGAAGTATCATTGAACTGGTTTTCAAACTACATGACCAAAAAATGAAGTTTTTATAGCAATCTGAGAAGTAAGCTTCTTAAAATCTTTCACAGATAATGACCCTTCCCAGTATGTTAGATGACACCTGTCTTTCTTAGCTTCTAGTCTCACCTTTTGACAATTTCACCAACTTCTCTTTTCACCAGTTCCCAAAGAGAGATTTGAGAATCTACTTTGCACCAGACTCCACTCCAGGTACTTTCCATTTAGTATAACATTTGAACCTCAGAAAATGTCATTGTGCTAGGTTCTGTATTGGAATTATTTTGCACAATCACACAGGGTTTATATTCCATGTAAATAGCACTCCCAGTACACAACCAGAATGCTACATTATGAACGGTGACCAAGAGGCAAGAAATGCTATAGACCTGGGTATCATATTCCCATTTTATAAATGAAGTATCTGGGAGGTCAAAAAGCTAAACTCCAAGAATACACACGGCTAAAATTTAACCTAGGTCTCTTTGACTCCAAAGTCTATATTCCCTTGTTCCCACACCGCCAAAGCCACCCGCCTGATAGAGACACAGTGACAGTGGACATGATTCCTTTAGATACATGGTTTTCAAATAAGATTTATTTTGGAGCTGCTTCAGGCAGGGAAGGGTGGGGTGGAAACAGCCAGTGGATGAAGATCAGATCCTACCAAAACAACTCTAACCTAAATCAATTTTATATAATAACTTTCACATATGATTTTTTAATTTTAGCTCCAAAGCATCTGATGTAGCAGCAGAAACACTGAGCTGGGTGGTAGAGAAGCTGGATTCTGGTCCTAGCTCATCAGTAACTTATGATCAAAGCTTTATGCATCACCTAAACTTACTGGGTCTAATTTCTTCAACAATAAGAAAAAGGAGGTTGGACTAAATCAGTCCGAATTTCTCTCCCAGATATAAAATTATATGACTAAGAGCCTTTGGTCATAAATTAAAAAGTCATTAGAGAAATGAATTCAAAATTCTGAAAGAGTGTGAGGGTTACTTGAAAAAACTAAAAGCAATGTTATGGTGGGGGTAGGAGAGAGAAAGAAATCTCGGATTCTATACTTTCTTTGATAAATAGTAAGGTGTTCACTCATTTTTGTTTTTGTTTTTCCTTATCAGCAACCAATTCTTCTCAAATGTACTCCTAATTTTTAGTGAACTATGATATCCCCTCTACTTTCAGTCCATGTAGTTTTGGTGAGCATATTCCAATTACTATGTCAAATTCTTGAGCCACTCTGCTAGGTTTAGGAATGATGATATAGCTGATATAGCTCAAATCAGAGCTAATCCCAAAAATGTTGCTGAAGCAAGAAAAAGTAATTAATTCATATTCGTATTCTCTCTCTCTCTCTCTCTCTCTCTCTCTTCCTCTCTCTCTCTCTCTCCCCCTCCCTCCCTCCTTCCCTCTCTCTCTCTCTCTCTCCCTCCCTCCCTCCTTCCCTCTCTCTCTCTCTCTCCCCTTTCCTTATCCCTCTTCCTCTCCCTCTCTCTACAGTTGAATTGAATCTAAGCAGTTGTCAGGTCCACCAGGTAGAGAGGGCCAACCTAAGAATGAGGCCCAGATGTTAGAAAACAGAGAAAGAGAAGCCACATCCTGATGAAATTGTTGTGCCCATTAATCCAGTCATATTTGAAATAAGCTATAACCGTGAATATATTCATCTTGTATTTAAACTAATTTAGAGTTCTACCACTTACAACTAAAAGATTCTTAATACAAATGGATATTCAATTAGAGAAAAAAACAGTACTCAAAGTGATTAATCTAATCCATCTTCTTACCTCCCAGCACATTCTGAACCTACCAAATTTGGTCTGGATAAACTACCCTAAAATAAATGCTAGGTAAATAACTGGCTAACATGAATAGTTTAAATGCATGTATAGTTTATATGTGTCTTCCTTGATTTATGCCTTTTTTCTTTCTAAATTTTAAACACAAATTTTAGTCAGAATGAGAAAAAAAAAAGGTTATTAACTACCAATTAACCACTCAAAACTGTAAAAATAGTCACCCTACAGTGAAACAACATATAGCATCACAATTTATTTTAGATATACAGAAAATGTGTCATTGTTCCTCAATGAAAATAAAACTTGCCAAATTAAGCTCCATAACCTACTCAGTCTTAGTCAGCTAAAACTCTGTCTCAACTCTGGCAATCCCCACACTGTCGACATAAGAGAGAGATAAAGAAAGGAGGGAGGTTATGAACAGTAATTATTAGGCTCTGGTTTGGTTCAAATAAAGTGCAAGGCTGCATTTTAAAATGACCTCAGTGTTTAAAATGATGAATGTACTAGTTTTTACCCTTTCCTAGCCCTCCCACTTTTGTGAAGAGAAATAGCAACAATAACATTAAAAATCTGATAAAGATGGTTTCACCTCATCGTGAACATTTAGCTAAGTAAGTTAACGTACTTTTTCAAATTATATTAATAGTTTTAGCAAAAAGATAATGAAGAAATACAACTAAACACTACCTGTAAAATCAGAAGGAAAAGGAAATAGGCATTTGCCACTCTTTGGAACTGTTCAAATAAATTAATTGGCAAGAAGGTGAGAATGTTGTACTTCGATGTGTGGATACGATTGTCCTGAAAAAGAAATAGAATTGCGTTAGTTTAGGGCAAAGCATTCCTCCTTATCAGAAATAACTCCAAAACTTACAAGGCTGAGCATGAGTTGTGCCAGAGGAGGAAAGACAAACCAGTTATCTAGGAAATTTAAGCTCTAGATGGCCCAAGGCCTTCATTTTTTCCCAAGATGACAAGCTTCTTATATTAGGTGAAATTACTGGTCCATGACATTAAATCACCCATAACTACAAAAACAAAACTGTATCAAGTACAAATGTCCACATCTGAGATTTTGGACTCTTATGCATTCATTCATTTGGCAGATATTGCTTGAGTACCTACTGTATGCGGGCACTGAGTTCATGCTGGGGCCCATGGAGCTGGAATAAACTTCAGAGATCACCTGGTCTACCTTCCCAAAGCATGATCCCTTTACATACCTCTGACAAGGGATTCCTATCTATCTTAGAAGGTGTCTTGTGATGGGAAACTGACTGCCTCACAAGACAGCCTGTCCTCATTTCAGAATAGGAATTACTGGAAAGTTCCTTATTATGAGAAACTCAAACCTGCTTCCCTTTAACTTCCATATGCCAAGTTCCAACCCTGGGGTCACCTAGACTGAGTCTAAAGTCTTTCCACATTGATAACCGTTGAATATTTGAGGACCACTCATAAGACTCCCCTAAATTTCCTCTCCTCTCTTCTAGACCTTCCCAAACCTCTCAGTCATTCGCCATGATTTATTTTGTAGACATTTCTCCCTGGTCAGCCTCTTCTGTGTTCACCCCTACTTTTCTGCATCTCTCTTAAAACATGATGCCTGGAACCAAACACTATTACAGAACTGGCTCAACCAGTTCATGCACAGTAGGGATTCTGATGTTCTGTGTCCTGAACTATTGTATTGGCATGACAAAGATTCATTAGCATTTGGCAATTATCTCTCACCATGTCCTCATATTAATTTTTGATCAGCTAAAATCCCTATATCATTTCTACATAAATCACTATGAAATCAGATTTCCTTTACTGATTTGCAGTTGATTTTTAAATAATTAATATATAAGATCTTTCATATATTCCAATTATACCAACTTGATTAAAAAACCAATTTTTTTAAATCTCGAGTTTGCCATCTAAAGTATTAAATATTTCTCCTAGCTTTGTGTCATCAGAAAATTTCAAACACATGCCTTGTATATATTCTTCCAAAGCTGGGGACAAATACATTAAAGAGGACAGGGCTAAGGACCAAAAACAATTTAATTAAAACAATAAAGATGTGGCAAACTACTAGAGACCTCTCTACAAATTCATGCTAACACATTTTTTAAGATATTATGTGAAACGCATTAAGTATGTTTTGTTTTGTTTTGTTTTAGTCTCTGGTCTCACTCTGTCGCCCAGGTTAGAGTGCAATGGCACAATCATGACTCACCACAGCCTAGACCTGCACACCACCGCACCCGGCTAATTTTTTTTTCTTTTTTTTAAAGAACGTCTTGCTATGTTGCCTAGGCTGGTCTCAAACTCCCAGGCTCAAGTGATCCTTCCACCTCAGCCTCCCAAAGTGCGGAGAATATAGGCATGAGCTACTGCACCTGGCCCCTTAAATATATTTTATTTAACTATTTGTAAATCCATTTAACTATACTCTCTGAGGCTTAACTCTATCTTATCCACAAAAATAATATAAGAAAATTGGAATTTGTCAAAAACCTCCTTGCACTGAATAAAGGACTTTGGCAAAGTCTCAGAGTACAAAGTAAACATACAAAAAACAGTCACATTCTTAAAAAAAAAGAAAGAAAGAAAGTTTGGGTGGCAGATCTTGATGAAATTCAGAATCAACATGCCCAGAATAATATTTTTAAGATAAGATTAGTTTAATATGTCTTGTTTTAAGTGAACCTACTAGTAATCACGTCTAGTAATCACTGTTACCTGTTTCAAAAAAAAACGCAGTCATCTGTTAAATGACTTTTTAACATTTATCAGAAGTCAAGGTGTCCAGTTCTGTGCTGCAAGTTGCGGGAGAGTAACAAGAGGTGTCAAGAGAAGAGTTTCCAGCCTAGTCAAAGCACAGTAATGTGCTGAAAACTGTACTGTAAGCTGATGATGACTATGTTGGATTTGGGTTAACTACTCAAAGGAAGGAAGGAAGGTTGAGTGTACTGTCAATCACATGCTTTCTAAAAATTAAAAGTAAAATAAAATAACGCTTGGAGAAAAATAATAAGGAAGATTAAAGCTAAGGAGAAAAAACAGTTAAAAGATCCCAATTCCTAGTTCTGCATTATATTTTCCTTCTAAGTTAAAACTAAAATAGAGGTTAAGCTGGCATCTTGCTAAAAGGACAGATACCAAATCTGTAACAGTCAAAAACCATGGCAGGAATTATAAACTCTCTTACAAAATTGAATTCCATGTAGGTGAAGCACCAATTTTGTGGTATAAAGTGATAATGCCAAACAGAAACTATGACGATTTTCTACTATTTTCTAAGTTTGACATATAGCTATGATTGTGTTTTCTTCTACTGGCTGTTATAACTTAGTCACAGATTATACAAACCCTCACTGCTTTGCCTGGGAACAAGGAGCAAGGGCTCCCCCTCCTGGAGAATCCCTGGACACATCCACCTTTGTTTTTCAACCAAAGTAAAATGTTTTCATTTCTACTGCTCTGTCCAAGAATATGAATACTGTATTGGTGAAACCTTAAATCAGGCACATTAACATTTAGTCATTTCATTGATTCTGCCTAGGGGATTACTTTCAAATTTTAGTACAACTCATTCCATAATATGGCACAGAAGATCTTCACCACTATCCTCTCTGTACTTTTCCACCATGGACTACTAGAAATATCTCAGTACAGAAGAAAAGGCAGAGCAAGAAGAGGAAGAAGGAATGAAGAATCCATACAGCATCTCTGGTGCTGATAGAAGCCATGGTTCTAGTTTGTTAGCCAGGTGGGCTGGTTAATTGATGAGGAAGGCTTAATTAAGCACACAGTCACAGGTGATGCCAGACCAGGGCAGGCCTCCCACATGGTGGAAAACAGCCTGCCCCTGGAGGAACTTAAGGAACCCCTTCCAAGAGGGAGAAAGGCAAAGTTGAACTGAGACCCATTACTCCTCCAAGATTGACCCATCCGGTAAATGCGTCTCCCAAGTAGCAGAGTGAGTACGGGGGTTAGGATGAGGACAAAGCATCACTTCTCTAAAATATTTTAACAGGGGAGCCCCGAGGTGGAGAGATGATGACACACGTGGGAATCCAGAAGAAGGACTGGACTATGAGGCTGGACAATCGGGGACAGCACAAATGGACGAGAGAGAGAAGTTCCCTGGAATACAGATAAGGATTTTTGTCATTACAGTAAAGACTAAATTTGATAAGTCAAGGGGAATTGCTGAAAGGTTTTAAGCAAAGAAGCAAACATGATGAGATTTTTATTTTATTATTTTATTTTATTTTATTTTTTTAAAGAAAGAAAAAGTTTATTTAAAAGTAAATTAGAGAGAGAAAGAGAAGGGAGAGAGAAGATTCACATCCCCAAGGTGGGGGAGGAGGCCAAAACCAGGAAGCATGGCGACAGCTGTAGCTCAAAGAGCACATGGCCACACCAGAGATTTTTATTTTAAAAGATCACCCTAGCTAGATAGAGAACAAATTGGAGATGACACAAGGATAGATGTGAAAGAGCAATGAGAAGGTCTTTAAATTAGTTCAGGTGAGAGATAATAGACAGCTTGAACCAGGGTGATGGCAAAAGGAATGACAATAAATAATAATAATAATCGACACTTATCAAGCGCTTACTATGTATACTAAAAGCTTCATATTTTATACCTCATTTTATCCCCACAACGTCGTTATGAAAAGATTATGAAATAGGTAACATTACATCCATTCTGTAGAAGGGAAATCCAAAGTTCAGAGAGACAATATAATTTACACAAGTGGCTTATAAGTGGTGGAAGAGCAGGAAGTTGAATCTGGATACTCTGCAAAGTCCACCCACTGTGCTGCCCCAATTCACTACAAAGCAGGCGTCTCTTCTGCCTTCAGAGTCTTCAGCTCTTGCTCTCTCCTCCAGTATTCATTTCAAGCTTGCTGCCACTTACCAAAGGAAGTGCAGTATATACCTCTTCCTCTCTGGTCAAACTCCTCAGTCTGATGTGTGATTGTAGCTTCCTTAGAGTCCATTTCAATTCCCCTCTGAAGAGATTATCTTGACCCCTGACAAAGCTCCATGCAGACAAATAGTATAGATAGCTATTCCCTTACTTCAGCTTCCAACAGAAGCAGTAGAGACCACAGTCCTATATATTTCCAACATCGACTTCTTGGTGGGGAGAAGGGGAGAATAAAGTTAAAATAACAAACCCAGCTGGGCTCGGTGGCTCAGCCATAATCCCGCCCTTTGGGAGGCTGAGGTGAGTGGATTGCCTGAGCCCACGGGTTCGAGACCCGCCTGGGCAACTTGGCGAGACCTCATCTCTACAATAAATCACAAAATCAGCCGGGCGTGGTAGCACATGCCTGTAATTCTGGCTACTTGGAAGGCTGAGGCAGAAGGATCACTGGAGCCCAGCAGGTCGAGGCTGCGGTGGCCGGGAGCGCCCATTGCACTCCAGTCTGGGCGACAGAGTGAGATGCCAACTCAAAAAATAATAATAACAAACCCTTCAGAGATGCAACAAATAAAATACTAATAAAATAGGTAACATTATTTTTTATAATGAGATTCTTATACACACAATGTAAGCACATTGCTTAAGAAAACCAAGCAAATAAAAAATATTGAACACTGCTAAATTTGCAAACAGAACATTTGGGGAATTTGCCTCCATTTTTCTACTGGCAAAATGAAGCTAATAACATTTCTCGAATATATAGAACTGTCATAGAGATGAGATCATCAATGTAAAGCATTTTTGCTAAATTGAAAGAATTATACAAATATAATTTGAGCTACCCCCAAATAATCCAAGTGGATCAATAAAT